AGCATTTCCCTTGCCTTGAGGGACAGCTACTCCCAAACAGACTAGTGTTCCTTTTATTTTTTTTTAAGGTTAGTCCTTTTCTAATGGAATATATTGGTTTAAAGTCCGGATATAAAGGGAGGCTTGAAGTAGTCTAAGGCGTCATGAGCAACTAAAATCTAGTTGGATTCCAGTCAAGTAGTTAGGCAAAGTCCTGTAGATGGGGATGCTTCCTTAGGCCTGGCTGAGCTGGTGCTGTTTGAAATAATAACAGGCTGCCCAGGGAGGTTGTGGAGTCTCCTTCTCTGGAGATCTTCCAAACCTGCCTGGATGCCACCCTGTGCCCCGTGCTGTGGGTGTCCCTGCTGGAGCAGGGGGTTGGACTAGGATCTCTAGAGGTCTATTTCAACTTCAGCCTTTCTGTGGTTCTCTGGTTGTATAGGTCACCCTTAATGCATATGGAGGGATTCACCACGTGAAAGGTACGTAGCTCCTGTGGACACGCATCTGAGCTGGGGTCTTAGGTCAGGGCAGAGAAATCTGCTATTTCAGACTGCAACTCAAGGATGTGAAAGCAGTGACCTACAGCAGGCAATGTGAACTGTGCCTAAAAAGTGACTATTGGTCTCCAAGAACTGCGCAAGGAAGGAGGTTGTGCTAACTATCTTTGATGTGGAACAGGCTACCAGGTAAACACCTCCCACTTGGCAGGGCTCATCACACCMAGCACAGACCAAGGCCACCAAGGCCACCACCAGTGCTCTCAGAGCTACATTCTTCCCGGTTAAGGCAAGTAAGGACATACATCTGCGTTGCAGCATGTGTTTTGGTGCTGTTCTCTTATTTAAGGCCATGGATATGAACGCTGTCCCACAGTGTATTTGAATGTGGGGGATTCTTTTTTTATGCTTTCTTGGAAGAAAAGTCCTGCATGAAATACGTTTTGATTCAGCATCACAACTTGCGTTTTGATTCAGCATCACAGCGCGTTGTCAATGATTAGCTGGTGGAATATACGTATTCTCTACCCTGAGAATATGTATATTCATTATGCACCAATATCTTTCAGATTGCACCAGGGAACTGAATGTTATTTGCTGAGCTTGTTTGGATAAGTTAACAGCATGATAAACATCTGGAAGGTAACAGATCAGTCCCATGCTGCCTCTTCTCTAACCAGGGACTGCTGATCCTTCAAGGTCTTTGTATGCGGGTAAGACCTTACTGTAAAAGACCTTACTGTAAAACCAGGCCTTGCTTTCTATGAACAGTTTGTGCTTTGGTCCTGTCTCACCTCAAAGATTTCCACCACAGAAATAGCTTTGCTCCTTTTTTTCTCCCGTCCACTGGAATTAGACCAAAGCGCTGCTTCCCTTTCTGCTCCCGGCTGGAAGCACAACCTCTAGCAGAAGCCACTGCTTGCTCTGTGTTTTCCTCTGACCTCCTTGCTCTCTGCCTTTCCACACCTCACTGAGGTTTCTGCCATTCACCATGCAGCTTATTTCATAATGYACAATGTCAACTGTCCTCTTCTGGTCTCAAAATACCTCAGTAAAGGCAGCTAACCCAGCCACTCTACTTCTTTTCCACCCTCTATCCTTTCCTTCTCCTGGGCTTTAGTTATGACTCTCATCTGATTTCTYGTCTATGTCCTGTAGGATCTTCTAAGCAGGGAATGGGTCTCACCTACCATCAGGTGGCCAGGGCTTTAGAAAGCCATACAGGAAGCTAATTCTAATTAACTACTATCACTACTAGGTATTAACTACTGGCTCTACTAGAACTAATATCACTCCTGTCCTGCAGCCAGATGTCCCACCCCTCCTGGAAGACACATGGCAGTCCTTCTTGCTTTCATGTACAGCTTTAATGCTATATAAATGAATGTTAGCAAAGAGTCTCATAAAATAATATTGCACAAGAATAGCCACAGGGCAGTTCACATCTGCCCAGGAAATGCTCATTGCTTCCTAGGTTCCTATTCTGCTCTCAGTGGAAAGCATCCAAAGAAGCACTGTAAGATCCTAAAGACAGAGGCTTAAGTGGTAGCTGTATATGGGTGCAGGGGCAAAAAAGATTCCATCTGAACCAATGTTAACATCCTTCTTCCTCCTTCTTTCACAGGGCTCTGTGAAACTGTCAGTCTTTTATTGCAGAAGACACTGGACATTAATGCTGGACAATGTCAAGCCCTGAGGAAAAGTGCAACAAAATGCTATGAAATAGCTTCAACAGTGCTGCAGAGTTAAATAAGGGAGCAAAATTTCACTTTGCAACGTTTGTGAACTGTCCTATTTGCAAACAGTCCCTCCAACAAACCTTAGCTTAAAAAGCCTGCTGCCCTTTAAGTGAGCATTCAGAGCAATCTAAATAACACGGTATGTTTGGTGGGCAGCTTGCCCATCAACACTGCTGCAGGCATTTGAAGGGTAAAAACAATTTTGATGGTCACATAAAAGATGAAAATGGTTCTTCCATAGCTCCCCCTCCACAAGAACCACCATTTACTGTTCTTGCCTGAAGCTTCATATCTTCCGTAGTTACCCAGTATGGTTCCACTGTGCTTTTACTTAGACAAGAGTAAAATAACCACAGTTCCTAAATCCTGATTCAGTGAACAGATTTCTCTGTAATGAACATCTGGCACATCTGGTTACTTGTATTACTATCCCCCCAATTATGACCCGCAGCACCAATCTAAGCTTTTTTCAGCTCAAATTCTTGAGAGAGTTAATGTAAGAAATGTATCTGAAACACAGACAGCCCTTTACCAAGATGTTATGGACACAGCAGCACTTAAAAATTAGCACATGGGTAGATATGTAAGGAAAAGAAGTAATTCTCTCTGCTTCCCCACAGAGCAGCAGGGGGAAGAAAACCTCCTGCTGTTGGAATGGATGGTTCCCTATAGCACTGTGCACTCTCGGACCATCAAATACAACCCCAGCTATTTGTCTTTTCACATCCCCTTCTCTAGTCCTCACTTTAATTCCCAAACCAGAACTCAAACTGCTGGGTAATGGATACATGGAGCCTTTCCAGTTTGAGCCAGATGCCTGGAGATGGTTTCTTCTCCAAGTTCCTTCTGCTCAAATCAGATTTGGGGATGGACATGGGTACCTGTTGCATGCTAGAAAATTCTTGCAACTTCTTGTGAGCAAATGGCACCCAGAGGGGAAGCAAATCAGTAAAAAAAGCTGAGATAGAAGTTAATGCTCACTCTTACTTTTGAGTCATCTGTCCTTCCCATCTATTACAGGCTGCAGTGCAGTGTGATGGATCCACTCATTACCACCACAAAAGAGAGCATAACCCTCTATTCAGCCTTTTTTCCCCACTCCCTCTTTTCAGCCACTGAAAGCTCATTTTCCCCTGTGGATTTGCCCTATGGATTATGACTCCAGAATAGGAGAGGTCACTCATTTACTCATTTACTAAATTGTTCTATGGATCAATAATCGTAAGATATCCCTTGGCTCAGATATTGCTCGAATGACTTCTTGTGTCCACTGTGTTGCCAGCTCTCATAAAACAATACAAATGGCAATATTTAAGCTCACTGAATCATCCTCAAAATGAATATCAGCGTAGCTCAGTAGCACTGGGCTTTATGCATTGCTGTTCCACAGCTAAAAACTGGGCTTAGCTTTTGTTCAGTCAGAGCTCTCCCTGTTTTCATTGCTTAAAAGTTAACCACATTTGGAGGAGAGCACCAATAACTTTGTCAGGTTTGAAACTCAGGTGGATCTGGTTCGTACACACTGGAAATGTTCAGGGTGTTATAGTTCAAAGCACCTGAAATGTCACAGGTAGAATAACCTGCTTTCTTGGGAGACACCAGACCAGATCTTGAGTCTTGAGGGCTCCATGCAGCTTTGATTTGTCCTAAAATAAATCTACTGCTGAATATAGGGACAGAGCAGAACAAAGACGCTCTTCTCTCGAAAAGCCTCCCTTGTAACGGGAGTTACRTGAATGACAAGCACTGTGCACACAGCGGGATGAAAAGAAGCCTCACTTAGGGGAAGAAACCCAAAAGTAAGTCTTCATTTTTTTGTGGATACCGTGGAATGAGCGGGGGTGATGTCAGATGTAACGTAACACTGGAGTGGAAAGGCTAACAGAGAAAGGCACCGTATCACTTCACCGGCCAGTCACAGACATGAGCTGTACATTAAAAGTAAGCCAAAACCCCCAAGTTAACTTTGTGCAGATGCCATCCCAACCCCCAGCCTCCTTCTGGATCTTTTAATGCTGCAAGAACAGATTTGTCTTCTCAGAAAATACCTCCCTTGGAGGCAGCAAAGCTGTGTACACAAAAGCACTGAGCGCATTCCAGCGGCTCCCAAATGCTCACAGTGCCTTGTAAACCCCGCCAGTGCAGGAAAATTCTCTAAAACTGGCACAATCTTCATTAAAAGCTTTTCTAGTCTGGTCCTGTCCAGTCTACAGATGTGCCTTATACATAAGCCAACTGGCTGCCAGAAAATGCCATCATTTGCTATTGCAGATAATTCATTGTGCCATTGTGTGGCTGAATCCAGAACGCGAGTATGACAGATTTATACTGGGATTAATTTGGTCACTGACATAACACACACTTTGGGCAAAATCCAGGGGAAATGGATGGCTCACCCAAGAGGAAGTGAGTGTTTTTCCTCCAGGTGGCTGGTTCAAATTGGCTTTGCTGGCAGAAAGAGGCTTTTGTTCCACAGCCCTGCCAAGCTTGGACCTTCTAGGAGTGTTCAAAGCCCGCAAATAAAAATTTAAATCCRTGAAAGACATAACGTCTGATGGTTCCTCATGCACAGTTTCCCTCTGTGTGGCTACAGGTCTCGCTGTGGCTACAGCTCATTTATACATGTGTCAGAGCTGAAGAGCTTATAAGAACAGCCCTAAGAGTGTCAGTTTGTCTACAGGCATTTCTGCAATGTGAGAAGAAGACAACCCTGTTTCTTCACCCCTAGGGAACGGGCTGTTTGTAGGTGCATCCCGAAGGAATGACTGTGGCACACACTTACCTGACACAGAAGTACAGCACCACGGGCCCTGACTTCTTGGGGAAGTCATGCTCCAGCACTCGGCGGTCCAGCTGCAGCCAGTTCAAGTGCCCCCTGATAAGAGAGGAGACAGTCATGAGCCCAGCAGAAAAGAGCTTCCTTGCAACGAGGTCTGAGGTGCTAAAAAAGCTGAACTCAAATGCTATTTGCCCTCGGCTATTGCCTGGTATTTGAAACACACAGTAAATGTTTGAGGAGCAGAAGTGATATCATCCTGGCAGTGTTTCAGTGTGAGAATCGACAAGCTAAAGTTCAATCTGTCGGAGTGAGAGCTGGCAGCCCAGAGCAGACGGGGCAGGACAAAACGGGAAGAGCTTCACCTTTTATTACAACCCCCAGGAGCAGATGCATCATTAAAAGGCCATCAAGCTTTTCATTAAAAATCCTTATTGTTAATAGTTACCACGATGCCTGCAGTGCTTCACTGAAGGCTCAACCCAGCTCCGTCCAGGCTCAGTTTATTCATCACGCTCATGCCTGGAAGAGCCTCTCCAGGTTTGCCAAGCCTGGCTTCTCCCTTCGCCGGAGAGCACCTGGAAAGCAGCTGCTCCACATAGCTTTCCAGCTCCCGTTACCACATGCTGCTCTCCTCGTGCCTGGATGGTACCTGCCACTATTATTTTCTCTGATAATTTATCCATTTGTGCCTTGCTGCCGTAAGCTTCCCTGGGCAGCAGCTCTGCTCTTTGCCACGTTGTAAACCACCCAGTGCCTGTGTGGTGGTTTATAAACACCCTTATTTGTATTACACTGGCACCTCACTCAGCTGAGATAAGGGGTCTATTAAATTATACTCCATACATACATAGGAAATACATAGGGTGAAATTCAGGCCCCTCTGAAGTCAGCAGGAATTTTGCTGCTGCCTTGAGTGCTGCTGGAATTGCATCCCGTGGACATTTCGCTATTGATTTCAGTGAGACCAGGTTTCATCCAAAGGGAGACACGGCCCCTTCCTGCAGCACTTTGCTGTCTAGGCAAGCAATGGCACAGAGATTTAAAGTGATTTGAGGGGGGGAAGCATGCAGCAAATAAAGGAGGAAATGGAATTCAGATGTTCTGAGCTCTGCTCCATTCTGTAGTCACTGGTTCATGCTAATCCTCAATATTAATCATTTCACAAAAAAAAAAAAAAAAAAAAAAAAAAAAAAGCTGTGTTTAAAAGCCATGTGAAATTAAGTTCTAGGGTTGCCACAAGCCTTAGAAATGTACCCTGTCAGCAAGCACAGCAGCTTTCACAAAGGTCTGCCCATTACTCCTCGGCACCGCATGTGCTTTGAGTAACTAAGAAACTGCCTTGGAAACGAAGCCACAACAGCTATTTAGCAATTTGACCATATCTGCAGCTTCCCCTACCCCCCCTTTTCTAGAAAAAATAAATAAAGGGGAAAGGAGCAATTTCTGGAGGCTTTGAGGCACCTGGGTTCAATTTAATTTTCTGAACAGCTGCCCTGGCGTATACAGATGCTGAAGGGGTCGGTAGCTCAGGGCTCCCTGAGCTGTCCCCAGGCTGTCCCTGAGACCAAAGGGGACACGGTGCTGGGCACCTCTTGGTGCAGCATGTTGGTTTGCACAGTCCAAGGGATTCCAAAGGGCTGTGAGCTTCGCTTACCCCTCCGCTGAGTTCAGCATCAGGCATTTATGAAAACAAATCTCACATCCATTTTTGCGAGGTAAAAGTATTTTCCTTGGCTCATCAGTCCTTCAACAGCTCAAGCAGAGAAGAGCAAGATTTGTGGAGGTGGGGACTTTTCAGACTTAGTCTTCTTTTTAGTGTAGAAAAAGAAAAGATTTCAAAGCTTTTAAAAAACGTCTTTTTCTCTACGTATTTTTAACAAGCTTTACCTTTATTTTTTTTCCCTAGGTAGAGAGGTAGCCGTGTGTTAGAGGCACACAGACCTACTGCATTGGGGCCTGTTGCTCAGGACTGGCAAATGCTTTAACCTGGTTTTTAGAAGACAGATGCTCAGTTGTTGGAAAATTAAAGAACCCTAGTCTGGGCACGCAAAACTTGGGGGCGTCCACACTTCCAGCTGTGTTCCCCTTCTTGAGGACTGGCCTTTCTCCTACCAACAGCTTGTTTTGTCCCAAGGTCCCGTTCTRTTTCTCTCAGAGGAGATTCAGAGTGGCAGAAATTAACTATGAGGGCCACATGGGGGTTGAAACTAGACATTCTCACCCATTCCGAGCCTAGGTACAAAATGAGCTTTTATCCRTTTAGGCCAAGGTATGAAACGCTGTCAGAGCAAGGGAAGGCCACACTAAGCCTGACATCCTATCCGAAACCTGTCCAGCTGCATTTGTGTCACCAAAGTAGCAACCGTAGCAGCTCATGGCATTGCAAACCGCTTCCCACCGAGACCCATTTGTTGACAATGGACTTGCAGTTTACATCTATGTTTATTCAACAGAAACGACTGGGTCTGCCTTACRTGTGCAGTGAAGGGTTTAGGAACCACAGTGCAGAAAACAATAATTCATTTCATGTTCTTTCTCATTCTGAAAAGATTYGTTCTCTTCATGCTCCCTGCATCTCAACTTTGGAAACTTGTATCTCATTCTGATGCAATCAGTACAAAAAGAATATATGAATATATATACATATAGACACCAGCATGAGTGCGTGTCATTGCACACATAGATGGGTGTGCATAGGGAACGACACAGTTAACGTGCCACTGAGTTTTGGGGTGGAGGGTTTTTATTACTCCTATCTGCAAAGAGCTTAAATCCAGAGCTCTTTCGAAAGGAAGACGGTCACGTAAATCACTGCCAGGAGCTAGCTGCTCACTGTACTCGGTTTCCACTTAAAATCTTTCGTCACTGAGGGCTTCTGCTCTGCAGATTGTCACCCGGCTCCCTTGTTTTCGGGCATGCATGTATGGCATTTAGCGAGCAGCAGCAGTGAGCAATGACTGGCATCTGCCAGCGCCTGTTGTCTATCAGGAGCCAAGGCCCAGTGCTGTTATGCCACAAACACTTTGCTCTGGAAGCTGTCTTGCTTGTCTTCAGCAGAACTATTCACAGAGTGCAACCCCATATAAGAGAGTAAAATGTTGGCACATACAGTCCTAGGCATGTAATAAACTTGGCAGCTTTCATGGACCTATTTAGGCAGCTTCATTATCTGCATTGATTTGTTCATTTTGGTATTTACATCCATGTATTAACAAATAACGGTGCAAACAGCTTTGAGTGACCTACGAGGAGGTTGAATATTGAAAGCCAGATAATTTTTCACTGTTTGTAGTACCCGTGTTGGCAGTTAAACTGGTGTGTCAATAACAAATACATAATTGCTTTTAGCAAACAGAAACRAGGCCCATTTAGGTTACAGACTGCGTATGGATTTTGGTGCCCAGGGTTGGTATTGTCGATAGCAGGTAGTAGTTTCTGTTTTCTGTTATTAGGGCGTTCACTGAAGAGTGGTACGTCAGTGAGTACTTTGCTTTCAAGTGGATCTGTTTATAGAGATTTACTGGTTAGTGTCTAGATTTCTAAAATTGGCTTCACATTTATTTATGTTTTATAAAGACACTTGGACCAATAAACCAACTCACCACCCYGCTTTAAGGTCAAGCTCACACTGAACTGAATGTTGAGAAAGACCAGCTCATATAATGGAAACCGTATTTGCTATTCTACTTTTCCATCAGCCACTAAAGAAACAAACAAAACTTCAAAAATAAGCATGTGGATTTTCTTACGTAAGGTCTAAATCCATCAATGGAAATATTTTTGGAAGGGACCACAAGGATCTGGAGACTAGATGAGATTAACTGAACAGCTCTTGGTCAGGCCCAGGAAAGGAGGAGCAGTTGAGAGCTCTCCATGGAGCAGGTGGCTCATGTCTAAGGACAAGCAAAGGACATGAAAACCTACGTGTGGCTCCAAGGTTCCTTCTGCAGTGAACAGAAGGAGAATTCTGACCACTTGCTCTGAGTGAATGTTGCAAGCGCTGATGCCAAGGGGAAAGATGGTTAGCAAAGATTCCTGCTAAGCTGAACTGGAAAAAGGCCCTTTCCCAATTTTAATTCGCAGTCAGGCAATGTATAGGTTTTCTGGCTTTACAYCTGTGTCGCAGCTTGGCCTCACATACTATAGAGGACACCCTTTTGACCTGTGCTCTCCCTCAGTTAATGGCTGATGTCCTAAAGCGTTCCTCTGATCATTAAAATAGGAGGCGTTATTCTTTCTCCCATAATAGTCTGACAATCTAATTTTAGTCACACTGAATGCAGTAATGACCYCATATTATCACAAGAAACTATTAAGTCGCCAACGCAAAGGTTGTTCCTATTGATTTTCTTCTCGAGTTGTCATGATAGAGCACAACTAATGAATGGAAATCCCCAGTCCAAATCATTTCTAAATAAATTACTCTCATAGAGCTTTTACTCTTAAATAGAAGAATTGATTTAATAGTTTAGTGGCTTTTCTTCTTTCTAAACTTGCAATTTACCCAACCTCAGACTACATTTATGAACCAAGGCTATTCTGTGTTAGCTGGTCCTTTCATGGAAGGCACACTGAGACTCAGAGAAATGTTATTTGCTAAGGAGGAAATTTTGTAGGGCTGCATCACAGAATTCATGGATTTCTGTTTGTATGACTGGTCTGTTCAGAGCGCCAGCTGTAGGACTATGTCAGTGGCTGTACAAGCACATGATAAGATGCCATCTTTCCTAGTTTTTCAGAAAGGATAGATATTTTTTTTCCTTTCAGATTTGCATTGTGAGTTAAGATCTGTGGTACATACAGCCCAGTTCACTTTCTGGTTCCATGCCCCACATATCTTTTCGGGCTCTGTTCAATCAAACAAAAGAGTTGTTTATTGTTTCAGCATTGGAAAAGAGCTTGTTACTACTGAGGAGGAAATATTATGTGTAAATCATCTCTGTGTCATTTTCACAGCCGTCCAGAAGGCTCCATGTAAGGGTCTCTTTGGGCCAGTATGTGGACTATAGATGAAGCTTCATATTGCCTAGAACTTACTGCTGTGTTGTTGGACTGTGTTCACTGGATGTAATGAGGTTCTCTCCAAATCTTTCATCTGGGCCAGCTGAGCTCCTGCTAGATAATCCTTGCTCCAACTTGACCAAATTGTAGAAGATGAACCAGGTGAGTGGATGCCATCTCACCTCACCCTTTGAAATCCCGTGTAGACAGTGCGCATCCATCCGCATCCCTGGTTCTGTTAGTTGCACCTGGCTTCCCCCAGTGCTTTGGACATGGTTTTGACAACCTCTGTCAGCCTCTTGCACGTCTTCCCATCGCTAACTGAGATATTTGCTCACACCGCCCCGCGTTAAACCTGCCACGGCCCCCATGGAGTCTGAGCTCTGGGTCATTCTCTAATAGCTGACACGTCCTCCTGAGCATCCCTTGTACTCCCAGGGGAATCCTGTGCCCATCCAGCTCAGCTGGCAGCCAGGACTTGCTCTGTTGCTGTATGTTTGCGGATCTCTCTCTGCCCATGAGCCTGTCATGTGTTTTTCCTTTATAAATTGTGCTGTTAAGGCTGGCATGAGAATATTTTCATCCCTTGGTCCTCTTTAGCTTCACTGCTAAACTTTCCTGCATCCTTCAGGCAGCAYCCACTGAGTAACTCCCCATGTCTTATAAGAAATAACACTCAAGTGAACAGTCATTTTCTCCTTCAGTAACTTGCTGATGCCTCTTGCTCTTCCTCATTTGAGGACCAGTCTTATTAATTTGTGTTGGATGGGAGATCTCCTATCAGTGCTGCGCTGCTCATGTCAATGTGACTGCACGGAGTCTGAGCTCTCTCTTGATTTAGGTCTCCAGCCTGCAAGTGCCTGACTTTATGTGTCCCTCCACACCACGAGTCATGTCCTGAGAAGTCCATAGGCTGCCCAAGGCAGACGCTTACCAGCAAAACAGGCTCTGAAGTGGGTATCACCACTGCATTCAATGTGGGTATGGGTATGCACATTAGGTAGCTACCTCTGATTACCTGATCCCAAATAATTTTGCCTGCAGACAATTTACTTGCTCTTTGCAAGTAAAAATACAATTTACTTGTTTCACTTGAGCAGGAGAGCAGAGCTGGCCCATGACAGTGGTTCTGCTGACTCGGTTATACTGGGAACACAACACTGGCTGGAAAATCTTGTTTTCTAAATGAAATAAAGGTAGGCTCTTTTCCCGATGATTATTACAGAAAAATCACAAACTGGGGTGGAATATAGTAGGTGGCCACATGAGACACATTTCATGAGACACATTTGATATGCTGAGGACACTCTAACTGCAGACAGAGAGAAAACAGAGAGCCAGAAAAGAAGTAACAGAAATTGCACAGTCTGACTGAGAGGTCATGGTCCAGGAGCAGCCATAGTAGCCAGACCCTTGGATTTTATCCAGTGTTAATTTTCTACTTGACTTCTATCTTTAAGCAAGAAGAGTTCAACTTTTCATGCTTTACTTTACAAACACAAGCCCTAGAAATGTCCTGTCTATGTATGAAAGCTCAAATTTTGTGGTAATCATAGAACCTGGGACTTGGCAACAGCCAGCACTATCTGAGATGAATATGCTATAATAGACCTATTCTGTGATTTAGCTCATATAGAAATATTATTTATATTTAAAAATCATTTAGTACACATTAAATTTGGTAATCCTTTCCTTCTCACATTTCTTCTTTCATTTTTTTAAGAAGCTCTAATCTGGAATCTAAAACATCAGAAATAATGGAGCAATTTTGTTTTTTTTTCTTTCATTGAAATAATTTAGCATTGGTTTTGAACCTGCTTGAGGGAATTTAATTATATTAAAACTGTAATTATATAGTTCTGCCAATTTGTTAATAATTTTGACCTCTCAATTGGATATTAAGTCCAAGAGAGCTTAAGATAACATTTTACCAATACCAMATGACAAGAAATCTTTGAACCATGGTTAGGAAGGGATTCTTGCTGTCTCTGTACACCCTCAACAGTGCTTAATTTAGTGCAAGAGACCTCTATCACTTTGCAGAAGGGAAAGTACAAGGAAGACTGATGTGAGGTCTTGTCTCCCTGGATTTTAGTCTAGGACCTCAGGTCTTCTGCGCTGCTCCTTTTGCTTAGGAAGAAATTCCACTTGGTTTTACTGTGATCTAACACCTGTGTCTTAGGTTTTTCATTCATGGCACTTACGTTTCATCTGTGAATGCAATTCCAAAGTATTCTTTTTCCTTCAGGTTGAAGTGAGATGCCACCAGGTCAAGCAACTCCTTCGCCAAAAGCTTTGGCTAGAAAGCAAGCAAGAAAAAAAGTGATCAAAATGAAGAACTTTGATACAACTGCAACATGTTTCTGGAAGTAACTGCTATATCTGAAGATACTCTATTGCCTTTCTTTTTATCATTATTATGTTTTCCTTTGTGTTCAGGCAAAATTTTAAAGTAACATTAGCTCTTTGAAATGAGCAGTAGTTTCCCTCCTAGGTAAATAATAAAAAACAGGTGCCTTCACCCTCTTCAGCMCTTAATTTCTCTGTACAAAAATGACCTACCATCTGTCAGTGCTCAGATTTACCATGACTAGCTCACTCATGCTTCTCTGATAATCTAAGTTGTTAAAGCTTTTTATCRGGAACCTTTACAAACACATTTCAGACACCCACTCTCACACGCACAGCGCAGATATATACTTATAGCCCTAATAAAAACATAGTGCCAAAAGATAGGATGTGACAGGACCAAATGAGAAGTAAATTGCGAAACAGAATAGTTGCCCGTGCGCTGCTGTTTGTCATTTAAGGATGAGGAGGTGTCATAAAATGTATGTACTTGGAAGCAAAGAGAGGAAAGTAACACACACTTGCAAAATGCCCTTTGTAAGAACATAAAACTGGGTTCAGAGAAGCTGTTCATCACACACAGAGCACTGGGGCTTACTGCAATGGCCAGTTTTGCATTCTGTGCAAAGCTTTTGTCTCTGTGTCTAATGCTACTGTTGCCCTCTGTGTATCTCCATCAGCTCTGTCAGGCTTTGGTTTGWACTACTGTGCTGCTGAAATCTTGGCCATACTACATGCTATTTCCATGAAAAAAAAAAATGCATTCACTCCCAAACAGATTCATAAGACTCTCAATCTCTCTTTAAGAATGTCTCTAATCTCAACACTGTCCTAGCACTTGACCCTCTTAAGACTAATGGCAACCTGAAATACTCCTCCAGTGTTGCTGTTTTATGCTGCTCTCCACCCCACTCCAGCTCCCTGCTATGTCCTGGTGGAGAAGCACAGGTAAGGGCACGGACACACTGCTTTTTGTCCATGAACCCAGCACAGCAGTGCTTTCTAGGTCATGCCAGCAAAGAAAGAGGCAACACTAAATTTCAATGCAATGCTAAGCATAAAGCAGTCTCTGAGCAGGGTGTGAGTTGCTGTGTAGGAAGATTTGGCAGCAAACAAATTAGGTGGGACTCAACAAACCTCATTTTAATTCCCCAGTCTGACTTCTCCAGCACTGTGAGACTGTGGTGAGGTCTCTTTGACATGTCCACATTACGTGTTGCATTGCCTTTCAGAGGCCCCTGAAATAGCTCCTGAAGGGCTGAGCAGAACAGGCACAGGGCCATGAGCCCACCAGCCTCCCCAGCCTGTCGGGGGTTCCTCGGATCCTCCTGTCCTGGCATTACAGGAGCGTGATGGATGTTCCCAACCTCTGTGTTACCTGTTAAGATGAAACTTCCTTCCCYGGGACATTTTAAGGACGAGCTGTAGTCTTGCTTATAAGGTACTTAAATGCTGTGACAAAAAGGATGTTAAGACTGCCAGATGCAGTGAGCTACAGTAGGCTTTGCACGTATACTTATTGGGGTGATGGATGAGTTTTCAGCTTAACAACAGACAAACTAAGACAAATTGTGAAGGAGAGAGAGGAAAGGCAGGCTGTGTCTGTGCCAGGCACAGCCTAAGCCTGTTTTGTTATAGGTGGTCTTGCTTTTCCCATACCCTTGCCCATGTCTCTGTGCTACCTCCTTTCYTGATCAGGGAAGAAATCAGACCACCGTCTTCTCCGGAAAGGAATTTCTTTCCAGTCTGTGCTGGAGGAGTGGGAATGCATGACCAGGAATRCTCCAGACCCCAGTTGTCCTTCAGGAGAGTGATGGGAAGCCAGAGTGAATTAAGAGCTGCTATCCCTGTATCACTATGGTGCAGATGCTCTGTTGCACGTGATGGAACGATTTCTTCCTCTACACCTTAGGTTTACTCAGAGCTGTATTTCACTAGCCTCAGTAAGAGTCAAATGAACAGGTCTAATTGAGCTCCTTCACTGCCACCCTGGAGGTCCCCACCACTCCTGCTCTCCAGTGGGGGACCAAGAGCSCCAGTCCTTTCCACTCCTTCCTCAGCACACAGAGCCTTGTGTGGCACTGGCTGCTGCATTCAGATGAGCATCCCAAAGACAGAAAGAGGTGGGGAGGAGAAAGTGGGAGAAAAAGGCTTTTCTGCTCTGACGTGATTCTGTGAACTGCGGGCACAATGACACCATTGCCTCTGCGGCCAAGGCCACTGGTGGAGGCAACTGGTGGAGCTGGACCCGGGCCGCCCCACAACAGCAAATCTATCCACACTTCGCTTTGTGGCTGGCACTGCCTGTCACCCACAGCTCTGGGGTGACTCAGATCCGTGATAAATGAGCAGTTGTGCTGCTGAGCAGGGAAGCCTGAGAGCAGCCAGCCCCACCATGTGTCCCAGCTGAGAGGGCAAGGATGGGGAAGAAATGTGTTTGAAACACAGCAGCATTTTTCCAGGTCTAGAAGTGGCGTTTGGAGGGGATAAGCTGGGATTTCATATACCACAAGAGAGCGGGAAAGAGCAATAAATGCGTGATATGGAGCAGGCTGTCCATGAACATGAGGAAGTGATGGGTTCATGAGTTCAGGCAGTCTACGGTGTCATCAGGGATGCTGGAAAAGGGGTAAAACTCCCTTCTCCTGATGTCCAGCCATGCCGCGGAGCAGTGACTATGGGGCTGCACAGCCTCCCTCACCCCACACGCCGCTGCAACTGGCCCCAGGGTGTCAACTGAGGAGCAGGAGCTGCGAGAAGCACSAGCCTTCGGCCACCCTCGCAGGCAAGACGGGTAAGCAAGGTGCAGTCTACACACCTTTTTTAAGTGTCCCTCTTGAAGCGCTCTCTTGTCAGTGCTGCAAGTGCATGCTGCTCCTTGGCTCTACTGAGTGAGAGCTGAAACAGCCCATGCTGCTGCATAGCCTGACAGCTTCCCCTGCGGCTGCTCCTCTCTCAGCACAATCCCCCTCTCCGGGTCTTGGCAGGGGTGGAGACAGGGGTGCGACCTCCCCAGCCCTTGCCCTGGGGCCTCATCCAAAGCCTGCTGCATCAGATAAGGCAGGATAACTCTTGCCTTGCAAGATAAGGGAAAAGAACAATAGATGCAGACCCAGCACTGGAGCGGTGCCAGCTTAGTTACTGGCCCAGTGTCCCTGAAGAGGCTTATGGCAGTGAACTTAAGCCCTACTAGTCCCCTCCAAGATTACTTTCCACTCCCCTCTTAAGCTCTGCAAGGTTATTGTCCCTTTTCAATGCTGTGGGATGTGTCCTGTTTCCCCTCTACACAGATGGGCAACTCGAGACTTTGGTGGGGGAAGGAGGAAAGCGCCTTCTGGAGGTAACAAAGACTTCTCCAGACAAACCTGCGCAGCAGGGATAAGGGATGTAAAGCCCCGGGAGGCACAAGCCGAGCTGCAGGCTGCCTCCTGTCTCAGGAGAGACCCACACGCTGGAAGTTAACGGTTAATCTGCTTGCGGTTCGGGATGGGAACGGCTGAGCGATGACCTCCTTTCATGTGAGCTGCACACACAAAGAGCTCATTAGTGATGCCTGTGGCAAGTTATTTTAATTCATTATTAATTTCTGGACTTSATTTTCCAGAATATTCATTTGCATTAATAAAATCTCCATCACAGACACACTGAAGAAGACAGGACTGGTCTCTGAGAGTACGGAAATACATAGAGAGGACCTTCTGCATCCCAYATAAGTGAATCCCGCAGTGTAAATCAGGACTAGAAACAGGAACTGAACCATGTCCCTAACGCTGCAGGACTGCAAAGCTGGACTTCAGTGACAGGGGACCTGCTGACACCCCKCTGCTTCTGCTGGTCCTTGCCTCCTTCCCACCAAGGCTGCTGCACAATCCGTGCACTGCGCTGCCTTCAGACAGCTACTGCTGGAGAAGCTCAGGAGACAGGAGGGGTTCCTGGAGCTGCATCCTCTCTGTGTGCAATCTGCTTCAGAAAAAGCATCTGGAGAGGCTGACCACAGGTCTAGCTAGCTGGCCTGGACTTGGGGCAGGGTGCACAAGCAGAAATTGGGCAGCTGGCGCAGCGAGGGCTGAGCATGCTTTGCTGCTGATGGGTAGGTCAGCAGAGCAACCTAATTCTGCCCGGGCTTCACTGCCTGCTGCCTTGCACTGCTGTAAGGCTGTCTTTGCAAAAATACACATGAAGAGCAATGTGCTATAACTAAACTGTTGTTTTCACTAGAGAAATCATCACGGCTCTGATCACGGCCCCAGCACAGAGGACAGCCTGTTCTGGCAAGAGCTCTCCACTGGAGGAGGAAGGTCTGAGGGACCTATACTCAATGTGATGGTGTCTCTAGCAGATACTCTAACCATTTCATAGTCAAAAGTCCTATCCCCAGCATAGGAGTCAGCCAAGGGCTTCTACAGATCTGGATTTCCACCTGCTTTCCCCAATTCCTTCTCCAGCCATGAAGGCAGGGCAGAACTTTACTCCCCATCCTTGCAAATACAAGGGCAGCCTCCTCTCTGCAGAGTTCAGGAAGCCAAACCTCATACCTCAGTTCTGTGGCAACAGTTGCACTAGCCGTGGAGCCACCTGATAGGCATAAYAGCATCATCCAGGGGAATCCCTGTCGTCTACAGAGCGGATGTCACTCCGAGTGAACCCTCTGAGTTTCCTCCCTTTCCCCTTGGGAAGGCAGGAGAGCAGAAATGGACTCATTAGGGGCTGCCTCATCAGAAGAACAAGCTGGACACYGTTCCCTGTGATATGGACAATATCAGGGAGGTTCATCTCAGCAGCTCTATGACTTGCACTGACAACAACGACAACAAAAGCTCTGCTTTGAAAATGCACCAAAGATAGTGCAAAAAGGTACATGTGGGATGTCAACCTTGCTTACACAGGCAGAGCTACCTTACTATGTTTACCTGTCACTTAAAAGAGAGCTTCCTCAGGCTAGAGAGAACT